CTTAATTGGAACCCTGATGGTTATACATACCCTTATGTCCTCAAAGCATGCGGCGAGCTTCAGTCCCTCCTTTGCGGTGAATCCGTACATGCCCTTATTTTAACATCTGGGTTAGACTCCAATGTGTTTGTATGCAATGGTCTAATTGCTATGTATGGGAAATGTGGGATGTTGGGTCATGCACGCCAGGAGTTTGATGAAACGGTTGTGAGAGGAATTACTGATGTTATTTCTTGGAATTCGATGGCGGCAGCTTATTTACAGAAGGATGAGGATAGGAAAGTTTTGGACTTGTTTGATTCGATGGTTTCGTCTAATAATTTTGAGCTGCGTCCTGACGCTGTTAGTTTAGTTAATGTGCTTCCAGCTTGTGCTTCTTTGGGGGTGTGGAAACGAGGAAAACAACTTCATGGTTATGCGATTCGGAGATGTTTGTATGAGGATGTTTTTGTAGGGAATGCGATTGTGGATATGTATGCCAAGTGCAAGCGTTTGGATGATGCTAACAAGGTTTTCGAGCGAATGGAGGTGAAAGATGTGGTTTCTTGGAACGCATTGGTAACTGGGTACTCTCAGATAGGACAATTTGATGAGGCTTTGGGGTTGTTTAAGAGAATGAGGGAGGAAGAGATTGAATTGAATGTTGTAACATGGAGTGCTGTGATTGCAGGGTATGCACAGAGGGATTTAGGCTATGAGGCTCTTGATGTATTTAAGGAGATGATGCTTTCTGGGGCAGAGCCAAATGTTATCACTCTTGTTTCTGTGCTTTCAGGTTGTGCTGCTATTGGGGCACTGCTTCAAGGGAAGGAAACTCATTGCTATGCCATTAAGAGAATGTTGAGTTTGGAAGGAAGGAATCCTGAGGAGGATCTCATGGTGATTAATGCTCTGATTGACATGTATGCAAAGTGCAAGGAGATGAAAATTGCTCAGACCATGTTTGATAGTATTGACAGGAGAGATAGGAATGTTGTTACGTGGACAGTCATGATTGGTGGATATGCTCAACATGGGGATGCCAATGATGCTTTAGAACTTTTTTTGGCCATGCTGAAGGATGAGTATTTTGTAATCCCAAATGCATATACCATATCTTGTGCTCTGGTAGCTTGCGCTCGTCTGTCTAGTCTTAGGATTGGTAGACAAATTCATGCATATGTGCTACGACAAGGATATGAACCTACAATGGTTTTTGTGGCTAACTGTCTTATTGACATGTATGCCAAATCTGGAGATGCTGATGCAGCTCGAGCTGTGTTTGATAACATGAGCCATAGGAATACGGTCTCATGGACATCCTTGATGACTGGCTATGGGATGCATGGTCGTGGAGCGGAGGCTCTCCAAATTTTTAACGAGATGAGAGGAGCAGGTTTGCCAATAGATGGTGTAACTTTTCTTGTTGTGCTATATGCTTGTAGCCACTCTGGAATGGTTGACCAGGGTATGAATTATTTCAACAACATGAATGGAGATTTTGGAGTTATTCCTGGGGCTGAACACTATGCCTGCATGGTAGACCTGTTGGGTCGTGCTGGTCGACTGGATGAAGCTATGAAGCTCATTGAAGACATGCCTACGGAACCAACCTCAGTAGTATGGGTTGCACTGCTTAGTGCTTGTAGGGTGCATAAAAATGTGGATCTTGCGGAGCATGCTGCTGCTAAGTTGTCAGAATTGGAATCTGATAATGATGGGACTTATACCCTTATGTCAAATATATATGCTAATGCCAGACGCTGGAAAGATGTGGCTCGGGTTAGATCTCTTATGAAACATTCTGGCATAAGGAAGAGACCTGGATGTAGCTGGGTTCAAGGAAAGAAGGAGACTGTTACATTTTTTGTGGGGGACAGATCTCATCCAATGTCTGAAAAGATATACAATCTCCTAGAAGACCTGATTCACCGTATCAAAGCAATGGGCTATATTCCGGAGACAAGTTTTGCACTTCATGATGTAGATGATGAAGAGAAAGGCGATCTTCTTGTTGAACATAGTGAAAAGCTGGCCCTTGCTTATGGTATTCTCACGTCAGCTCCTGGAGTGCCTATTAGAATAACCAAGAATCTGCGAGTTTGTGGGGACTGTCATACTGCAATGACATACATCTCCAAGATTATTGAACATGAAATAATATTGAGGGACTCAAGTCGCTTCCATCATATCAAGAATGGATCTTGCTCTTGTAGAGGGTTTTGGTAGAGAGTTTTGTTCTTGTGGAACAAGTTTTGTGGGCATATCTATACAATGTTCTTAGCGAAAGATGAAAGGTACAAGCAAAAAAATGACTGAGGCATTAACTACAGGGCCACAGGCTGTTGCCTACATCGGTGAATGCTGGTGACAGCTATGAACTACATTCTGGTTATGTATTCTCTTTGAGGTGCGGAAAGAAAATCACTAATGCGAAGCATAAGAAGTATAACGTGAAGCATAGGTTGCTTGAAAAAAGAACTTTTAAGTTTAATGACTCAAGGATGTTCGTGTTAGAGTTGGGATTAATTTAAGCATGTCACCAGCCGGGTCATCCAATCCTGACCTTGGTTCAGTTTCCACACGGCTGACATCAGGGCAAATGATTCATTTGGAAAAGATCCGATACCAAGTGACAGCGGCCTAGCTGGTCGGTGTGAATGATAAAGTGTTAACCGAGTCCTTCTGGAACGCCACACCACACCAGATATCTGGTCAAAGTAGGTACCTTTCTGAAGCTCAAAGAAACACCTTTTCTGAAGCACGCAGTTTGTTATAGAACAAATCTAAAACTTCAAAACATGCTCTCTCTCTCTCTCTCTCTCTCTCTCTCTCTCTCTCTCTCTCTCTCTCTCTCTCTCTCTCACACACACACACACACACACACACACACTCTTGCACGTGAAAAAGTGAATAAAGATGATTCTTCGGAGTGTTTTGCGAAGAAGGAGCATGCTCTTGGATAGTCTGCTTAGCAGTTTCCATGTTCATGTGCTGATTGACATGGACGAGCAACTATTGTGTAGTCTGGTCTATCTTTTTGAATGCAAAATGATTTTGATGTATATTCATTAGTAGTATTGCAATCTCTTACAGCATGCTCTAATAATGAAGATGTAGACTTAAGCTTTATGCCACATTGGTTCTCTTCTTTTGTGTTAATTTGCATTTATCCCAATAGTTACTTATCCAAAAAAATTGCATTTATCCAAGCGTTTGACAAGATCATCCGTTATTTCCATAAGGCATAGCAATAACTGAGAAAAGACTTACTCTAGACAAATAGGCTATATGGTATCTTGCAGGCTAGGCATACCCTGCATTTTCAAAAGCTTGGATAGTGTAGTCTATTTTTTGAAAGCCTCGGGGTTTAGAATGGACCAAGAATTCTTGATGTTGCAGTTGCAGAGTAAGAGGTTAATAGATTTGGTAGCATTTTTTTCACAATAATCCATAGTACTGAGTTTTTTTCTCCCGTCTCTAATAGCCTGCTGTTTAAATCTCATCAAAGAAAGAGGCTGAAACTAACTTCCATGTATCTATTCTTTTTCTGTGTTACATCTTTTCATTCCTTCTATAAGCTTGTAAATTTGTGGGTAATATAGTGACTTTGTTTGTAGAACTTCTCCCAAGTTGCACGTCGAGATTGGTTTTGGCAGAGACAAAAAGATTGTAGCATTTGGGTGGAAGTACTTGCGGAAATTGATGGATGGCTTTTCAGCAAGAATGTACGAGCTCAGATCTCCTTGTACAAATCAACCTGGTGACATACATATGGAAGGCTCTATCAATTCTTTATATTTCTATGCAAACGAGTACGCTCCTGGAAGTATCTTTGTTAAAAGAAGATGTAATACTGGACCTGTCTGCAAAGTCTGAAGTATATGACTAGGTGTAACCGTGTAAGCAGGAAATTATTCCTTTTCATTTAAAAAAATTTCCTTCTGTTTTTCTTTGCTTCTAGGGAAACTTCACGTCTTTTGAAGTGCACACTCGGCCCTTCCAAGCACAGGAAACCTATTGTAGATTAAACAGTTTAACTAGACCATGTACATGCCAAGATCGAAGAACAAATTTAGATTCTGTTTGCTTCGTGTTTTGGGGATGTACTAACATCGATCTCATTGCATCCTCACCAAAGCTATTAACCAGAGATTGAAGAACAAATCCAAATGTGTTTTAAGTTTTTAGAGATGTAAATCATCTCACGCATGCTTGCCAGCAAGGCGGAGCTCAGTGGCGGACCCAGAATTTTTATCAAGCGGGTTCAAAATACGAAGAAGCAAATATATAAAGAGGTCAATAAAAAAATATATTAATAAAATATATTATTACAATTGTCCTCTACGAGTTTTCATTTCCTGAAACGTATTCATAGTAGTCTCATCAAAAATGGTGTTAAATATTTTTCTTTCTACATAAGGTACCAAACAACCGCTCATGAATTCGTCATTCATTCGGTTTCGCAATTCACTCTTGATCAACTTCATCGCCGAAAAAGTTCTTTCAACGGTAGCAGTGGCAACAGGTAGAAGCAAAGCAAATTTCACAAGGCGAAACACAAATGGATAATTCAAATGCTTCTTTGTCTTAACTAGTGTTTCAGAAAGATCAACAAGTCCTTGTAGATTTGAGAACCTTTCATCAACATCACGAATATCAACAATATAAGTTTCAAGTTGATTCTTGAGTGTAACCGTTATATTCTCATCAATATCATCAGGATATAATTGAGCCATCCTCAATATCTTTTTTATGTCAAAACTGGAAAATGAGTCAACTGGATTTAAGCAAACTACTCCAACAAGCAAATTCGTTGTCACCTCATTAAAACGAGCATTGAGTTCTTGAACTTGCCAATCAATAATCTTAAAAAATATATCAACACGATAGTGATGTAAAATAGTATAATCAGCAACTTTACATCGAGATCTTCCAGAGTTAACATAGAAGTCATCAAAGTTTGGTATCAAAATATTATACTTGACACAAAATGCAGATACCTTATCAATAAGTGAATCTCATTCTTCTTCTCTTAGCTTTTGCAACCGTCTCTTTGCCACTTCAACAAGTAGAATAGCATTTGCAATATCTTGCTCCTTTTTTTGTAAGGATGTATTAAGCTCATTTGTGATCCCCAAAACATCTCTCATTAGGTGCAACATGAAAGCAACCTCAAATGTTTGACAAGTGCTAAGATATCCCTTTGCCTTAGCTCTTTCTTCTAAAGTCCGGGCATCAACAACGATAGTATCAAGAACATCAATAATTGAGCCAAACATAGAAATAAAGTTCTTAAAAGATTTGTAGTGCGAACCCCAACGAGTATCTGCAGCTCTAGCAAGACCAAGTTCTTGATTCAAACCCCTACCAGTTTCAAGTTCACCCATGTCTAATACCTCTTGAACTTTTTCAGCTTGAGATTCTCGAAGATCATCCATAAGTTTAAAAGAACCTCCCATTATATTCAATACATTAGAAACCAACAATACAAGTTCTCCCACTTCAAGACACTTTTTGGATACCGCAACAAGAGTCAATTGAAGTTGGTGTGCAAAATAATGAATGAAATAAGCAGATTTACTTTCTTGTTGAATCAAAGTTTTGAGGCCACGTAAATCCCCTTGCATGTTGCTTGCTCCATCATAGCACTGTCCACGCACATAAAATAAACTCAAAGAATGTTGAGCAAGGTAATCAACAATTGCTTTTAAACACAAAGTAGTAGTATTACGAAGGTGAACGATCCCAATAAAATGCTCCACCACAGATCCGCATCTATTAACATATCACATGACAATAGCTAATTGCTCTTTGCGTGATACATCATATGATTCATCAACTAGCAATGCAAAAAAGTCTCCATTTAGATCGTCCATAATTGCTTTAACTGTTTCAATTTTACATGCAATGATAATGTCTTTCTGAATTTTATGAGAAGTCAACTGATCATTCTTTGGAGTCTTTTTCAACACAAGATCATGAATTTTATCGCACCTCTCTGCATACCATGAAAGAATCTCAAGAAAGTTACCCTTGTTTAATGATGATTCATCTTCACGATGTCCACGGAATGCCAATCCTTGATTCAATAGGAGTCTCACCACCTCAATTGAAGCCTTCAAACGAATTTTGTATTCGAGCTTGGTTTGAGTGGATTACCTATCAAATGAAATTTGAATTGACTGTTTTTGTTTTAATAGATCTTCACATTTCCTTTTTGCCTGATTATGAATACTGCTCGACCCATACATATCTAATCTGTTCTTTTTGTGCCAGCTCTTAAATCCTAAACTTGAAAATATATCACCTCCACCTTGATGAATGCCTTCATTTTGAAATAAGTAACAATACAAACAGTAAGTTGCATCTTCAATCTCACTATACTCCAACCAATTATGATATACTTTAAACCATTTAGGATTGAAACGACGCTTTAAGCCCGAAAAATCTCTTTGAGGAAACTTATGATATCGGGGTTGGCAAGGACCTCTTCGGAGGTATTCTCTTCTAATCTCATCACGCTTATTTGGATGAAAGTCTCTAATGGGTAATCTCTCCTTTGGATCAGTCTTTAAAGAATCGAGATCTATTCATTGTCTTTGTTTTTATAGAAGATTGAGGTTGTTCTACTAATTGGTTCAAATTTTCTTCCACGGGAGTAACAATTAGAGAGGATGAACTTGATTGTGACAACTTGAAAGATACCGGAGGATAAAATCTCTTCATTGTAACATAAACTGGATTACCAAATTAGAATTCGAATTAGAAGAATAATTTAATTAAACATAAATTTAAACTAACTTTTATTCATTCTTCACCAATAATTTAATTTTCTTTTATTTTACATATCATTATATTATAAAACAATTAGATGAGATTTTAATCATCATTAAATAGCTTTGGACCACAACTTTGAAAGTTCAAAATGCCTTTACAAGAGTTATTGTTTTCATCATAATTTTTCTTAAAGCAACAAAGAGAACAAATAAAAAAATCAGCAATGTAAATTCTAGTGATGGGCAAGTATTTTAAAGCAGATTATTTATATCATGAAATAATTGAGTTAATTGAAAGGAACACTTATATAATGCAGTTAGCCAAACACATATACATAATACACTCATACACTTAGAAAAAAAAATTAATCTGAATCCAATGTGTTATAGTCAATTAGTCATCCCTAAATCACTTAATGATAATTGATAAGATAGACCTAATTTATATGTACAAGAAAAAAAATTAGAAATCAGAGAGAAACCTGATGGTGATAGTTGATGGTGAGAGAGTGAGAGGCTAATGGCAGGAGACAACTATGGAAGGAAGCAATATGACCTTGAAATTGAACTAAAAGATTCAGTAGAGAGAGACAGGAAGGGGAGGGAGAGAGAGAGAGACAACAAGCATTTTTTATAAAATATGCAGAGAAATAGAGAAGGGTTTCGGAATTGGGGCTGTTAGTTTGGGAATGGGTTGGGTCATTGTATTTTAGACATAAACGACGTCGTATTTAAATAGGAAATACGTATTAAAACAAAATAATTCTGACTGGTTTCAAACTCAAGACCTTGGGAAAAATTTGAACCCACTTTGCCAACATGCTATTCGTCATCAATGTTTTAAGCAGGGTCAAAATAATTTTTATACATAAAACGTTCTTAGAAATATAAAATATACTTATATATACAGTGTTATTTTTCGACGAAGCGGGTTCATTTGAACCCTCTTGACCCTACGTGGGTCCGCCCCTGGCGGAGCTAGAGTGTCGGCTACGGGTTCGGCCGAACCCAATAACTTTGGTTCAAATCTTGTATTTGTCTCAAAAAAATTATTGAATATGTACAAATTATTATATTAGGACCCACTAACTCAAAATGATTAGAATTTCGTACCCATAAATTTCAAATCCCAATTTCACTTCTGCTTGCCAGAGCAGTTATCAGAATTTAAAGGCTAGAGTGATGTGATCAATGATCATATTAGCATAATACTGATTACTATAATATTCATCTTTAGCTTCCATGGCAAATTGTCAGGAAGACAGGAACTCATTTAGTAGTACATACGGAGCTTTCTAGGCTTGAGAAAATAACTATCCGATTGACTAGTCCAGATGTTGCTGGGAATATCGGACCTCCATTTGAAGTAAAAACAAAAATACAATCGTTTGTCCGAAGAATGGAATTTAGTGTTGGGAAGTTGCCTGGTCGCTCAATTGTCACTTTGTAGTTGTCATTACCTGTTTTTGTTCGGCTATGGTTTTGAAATAGTAAAAATATAAAATCAATCAATCCATACTTTTTATATAAACAGAGTCAGCTATGACGAAACCATTTATTACCAGAAACAGGGAAATATTTATAATAAACCATTTACGTTGATAGTGTTAATACTTTTTCGCACTATCAGTATCATGTGTTAGCACGTTAGTCATTATTAAAACAATGTTACCAATTAATGTTTGTTATATAAACTATTTATAATTACCTTATAAGAGATGTGGTCAGGCGGATGGACGAAGCAATAAAGCAATTGCTTTAGGCCTCAACCTTTTGGGCCCCCAAATTTTACCCATAATAAAGTACTTGGTTAAATTAGTATTAGGTATTTTACGTAGAAAGGTTTTTCATAAATAAATAAAAACGATAAAAATTTAATTTGTGATTGATTTACTGTTTCAGCAAAAAAAACTCATAATGTGAATTTCTCCTAAATCCTTTATGTGTGAATAAATTGGGGAATAGGTTTGACATGTACATTATTGTTTTCTCTCTTTACATTTCCTCAATAGTAAGCTGTAAAGTTTAAAAAATTATTTACTAACTTTACATATTAAAATGTTAAAAATAGATATTAAAAAAAATTAATATTAATTTTGTTCAAATTTCGTTAAAGTTTGGTTTACGTGGTTGTGCAAATATCTTTTGCACTGTTAATATAGAGAACTTAAACTAGTAAATAAAATACCATTATCCCTTTTCTTTGACCAAAAATTCGAAAGAGAGAAGACTATATTTTCAGAATTGAGAATGAAAAGATACCGTGGAAAATGATTAGGTCAACCAGTCAGCATCGCATGTGAATAATAAAAAAACACTTCCTTTTAGTCCAAACCAAACTCCTACCAAAGTTTATTCTCAATTTTCTTCCACTTATAATTAATTAGAATCTTTCTGCCGTATTAATTTCAGAGCATTAAAAACTGGGTTCCTTGTTTGTTTTGGCTAATGAGATATGACATGCATTAATTCAATTGTTCTAATTCTCCAACAAGAAAGTAAATCTTAGACAAATGAGTGTACACTTGTAACAGTTTTGTAGTAATATTCCTTAGTCGTTCTTCCTTTGTGAGTTTTGGACCTTGTTCTTAACGTGTGTCTCCTCGTATCAGCCGGTAGTCAATTCCTCTCAAGACCTTATACTTATATGTTTAATGTTATTATTCTTTCACTTGAAAATGGGGTTCTTATCTTAAACTTGTCAAAGGCTATCTTGCATTCCTGTTTGGTTTAACTGAGATATGGATCCTTCGCTCAGCCCTACATCCATTCATTATGCTATTAAGGTAAGTGTGCCGCATACCTCGTAATGAATTTTCAATCATTTAAAAGTTATCAGTTCAAGATGTGAAAATAAGCTGGTGTAAAACTGTAAAGTAAGATTATTTACAATAGATTTAATGTACATCGATCCTTTTTCGGACCTCACACATCAGTGCATGAAATTTGAACCTATGACTTGAAATAATTTTTGAAATCGCTTTATCACTTTATTAGAATTTTTCTTTACCTCAAGGCAATTCAACTATTTAAATATAATAAGAAAAATTGTTTTTGTCCATTTTTTTCAAGGAAGAGATTCAATTGAACACCTTTTTAGCTTAATTCCTAACATGTTTGACCAAACTTCTAAAATCAGTTTATTTATTATAAATGCTTTTCTCAAAAATATTTTTCAAAAAAGAATTTTTGGTGAGAAATAATTTTTATTTGGCTAATTAATTTGAAAAACACTTTTGAGCCGCAATTAGTATTTTACCAAGATTTTAAAAAGTGATTCGAGGTATATTTTCTCAAAAGTTATTTTCAAAAAAATGCTTTTAGAAAGAAATTATTTTTTTCTAGTTATCCAAAATTATTTTAAATTTTACTCAAAATCACTTTTTTTTCCCTATAAAAGAACTTGATCAAACAGCTCTAACTTTTGGAAAAAGAAAAAAAAAAGCACTTTCTGTATTTTGATAAGAGAACAAAATCATATAGAAGGGAAAGCAGTTGGCTGTAACCTGTAAACCTCCTCAGTGCCCAGTGAAGAAGATGAGAGGATCAGTTTGCGGTGCAATTTATGAAATTTATCTATGCGGTAGCTCCCACTCTTTCTGATTGATGATCATGCTTATTTGGAAGTCGATATTCGTTGTATAGGTAGTATATCCACGAGTGCACATATGAAAACGAAAATAGTATTGAGTTAATTTGGTATGTATATATATGTATATATATATTTCGAGATAACATGCCCCCCTGAAGAAGATACAAAATGCACCATTTTTGCAGATTTCAATTTTCATTCCATCTAATTGAACTTCGAAAGCTAAAATGGCTCTGTAAAAAGTCTTTACATAATAGATTGAACTATGCTACTTATTGCTACAAGTCATATTCATGTTTTATTCCTATGTCTGTGGTGAATTTGCAGAAAGAGACGTGGAGGCGTACCGTTGTTCTATCGTTTCAAACCCTGGGAATATTATATGGTCGATTAAGCACTGCTCCCTTGTATGCATTCGGTTCAATTAATCCTAGCGATATCAAATCAGGACAGCAGATATATGAACTCTTCTCCTTTGTTTTTTGGACTTTAACCATCATTCCCTTGCTCAAATATGCCTTTATAGTCTTGAAGGTTGATGATAACGGAGAAGGTAATGTAAAAACATAATGGTTAAGATTTGATTTGTTCATATGAATTAGGGGCAGAGGTAGAATCTAAGCTACGGGTTCGGCTGAACCCAATAGCTTTTGCTCAAATTGTGTATTTTGTGTTAAGAAATTTATTATATATGTATAAATATTAAATTTTGGAACCCAATCATTAGCACTTGAAGTGAAGTTGTCATCTTAAATCCAAACCCATAAGATTAGAATCCTGGCTCTGCTTCTGCATATGATACAGATCGCTGTGTGTCTAAAAAGTAGTGAATTGTTGCAGGTGGTACGTTTGCTTTGTATTCCCTACTCTGTAGGCATGCCAATGTAGGGCTGCTTCCGAGTGATATAAGTACTACAGAACTTATGCATCAAGAAGAAGGAACCCCTTCTAAGATGAAGGTGGAATCAAGGGCAAGAAGAGCAATTGGAAGATATAAAAGCAGCCACTACTTGATGTTATTTTTGGCTTTGCTTGGTTCCTGCATGATAATCTGTGATGGAATTTTTACCCCTGCTCTTTCGGGTTAGTCTTATCACTGTCATCCTCATTAGTTTGCGGATAACCTCCTAATCTCACATGATCAGGATCATTACTTCCTGTTTTCATTTCAGTTTTATCAGCAACATCAGATCTGAGACGTTCATTGTCAAAATTGGCAGCCCGATGTAAGAATTGTATTATAATCAGCACATTATGATGCAAGATATTTACATAATACGCAGGAGTTCATTTTTATGCATTTTTTGTCAGTCACCTCTTCTGAAAAGGCAAGACACTCAGTTGACAAGTATTTAAAGAGATGTAAGTGTCCTAACCTTCTGTTTTGGCCAATGAAATTGGGCTTTGTATAATTTTTGGAAGATAAGTAGTTTGTTATTTGCGATACTTCATCTTTAGTTACTTAATTATTCGTTGAAATGATACTTTCAGATATACCAGTTCCAGCAGCATGTGCCATCTTGGTTTGCCTTTTCATGCTGCAACGATATGGGACCAACAGAATCGGGGTCATCTTTGCTCCAATTGTCATCATATGGCTCATGTTTATAAGTGGTTTCGGAATGTACAATATATTTCATCATCCCCAAATCCTCTGGGCAATATCCCCTGCATACATGTTTAGGTTTATTAAGAAAATAGATATTTCAAGTTGGAAACTTCTAAGCAGCATTGGCTTATGTATAGCAGGTTAGTTGTTTTTAACTTATATATTTCACTTCCATCTTGATGCCGAAGGCCTTATACTCATCCATTATTCACTAGCACTTCTGAAAACAAAATTTTCTGATAAATGATGGCTAATATTCTTCAGGTTCAGAGGCAATGTTTGCAGATTTAGGTCATTTTTCAAAGCGATCTATTAAGGTATTTATGAAATTCGTTTGCGATTTTTAAATAGTTACATTATCAAGGAGATAAAACATTTCATATGATTCCATGTTTGCAGGTCACTTTTGTCTTCTTGGTATATCCAGCACTTGTATTATGTTATGCTGGACAAGCAGCATTTTTTTCCAAGCACCTTGGTACTTCAGATGATGTAGCTCATCTTAGTGAATCTATAACACATAGTAAGTTTAGTAAATGGTTTTATAATTATGGTAGTGGCTTGTTCCTTAAGATTTCTAATCCTCAATTATCAATTGCTCAGGACACCTTCAACATATATTCACAATTTTGTCCCTTTTTGCTTCCCTCGTGGGTAGCCAAGCAACCATTACGGCAACTTTTTCCATCATAAACCAGTGCCAAGCACTTGCTTGCTTTCCGAGAGTCAAAGTTATCCACACATCTGAAAAAGTACATGGACAGGTTTATGTTCCTGATGCAAATTGGTTGATCATGGTCCTTAGCCTCACAATCTTGATAGGTTTTCGAGACATATCAGCTATTGCAAACGCTACAGGTATAGTTTATACATTGATCAAAACTGTAGCTCTCTTGTTTTAAGCAGTACGCAGTCATGTAAAGCTTCTAATGCATGCAATTCTGGCTCCCACTATATTAGTTATTAGATTAGAATTATAGGGGCCATATTGTTACTAGGACTAATATTATTTCATCATATTTCATAAACTTGTTGCTCATTTTTCTCCCAGGTTTAGCTGTTATTTGTGGAATGCTAGTGACAACTTGTCTTATGTCACTAATTATAGCACTGCAATGGGAGAAGACCGCTGTGTTTCTCTCTCTGTCATTTTTGTTATTCTTTGGTTCGATTGAGGCATTATACCTATCTTCATGCTTCTTGAACTTTTCCAAGGGAACTTGGTGTATTGTTATTCTGTCGTTGATTTTTCTGACAATCATGGTCTCTTGGCACTATGGTACTATAAAAAAGTATGAATTCGACATAGAGAACAAGGTGACCGTGGACTGGTTGACAGAACTTAGTCCTGGACTTGGCGTTTCTAGAGTGCCCGGAATTGGTTTCATTCATACTAATATTGTGACAGGAATCCCAGCTTTCTTCTCTCACTTCATTACCAACATCCCTGCATTCCATGAAGTGCTGATTTTAGTGTCCTTCAAGTCTTTGCCCGTGCCATACATTCCCAAAAATGAACGATATCTTATTGGCAGGATTGGTCATAAAGATTACAAGATTTTTAGGTGCATTGTTCGATATGGATATCGTGATCATGTAAGGAATATAAATGATTTCGAGGATCAGATTATTAGCTCGATAGGTGAATTCATTGCCAGAGAGGAACGACATCATGAAGCGTTGTTTTTGCAAGAGGGAAGGATGATCATTTTGGGAAGCAGAATGACCGATGGAAATGTATTGGTACCTGTTGTTGTTGGAGGTGAACAAAGTGAAAGTGGTCAAGATGTAGCAGATATTGAAAATCCAACTACTACTACTACTACTACTACAACAAAGAGGAAAAAAGTTAGATTTATGTTGCCTGCAAATAGTCCTAAAATGAATCCATCAGTAAGGAAAGAACTTCAACAACTTGTGGATGCCAGGGAAAGTGGCACTGCTTATTTTTTGGGACATTCACACTTAAAAGTACGCAAAGGGTCGAATTTTGTGAAGCAATTTCTTGTGAAGGTTTATGCATTTCTGGATAAGAACTGCAGAGAGCCTCCAATTGCATTAGATATACCTCATGCTGCTCTTTTGGAGGTTGGAATGGTCTATACAATATAATTTGCAACTGAAACATTGAATACATTATGGCCTAGACGTCGTAGAGAATTGAGAATTCCAAGTTTTTAATTTTTTGAATTGGAAAGGCGTCAATAGAAATTTAATAGCTTGCAATTTGCAAAGACAACAATGTAAAACACATTGTACATCAGAAATAATTTTAGCGATAAACTTTTTAATTTACGAGTGCATGTGAAAAGATGCGGTCCATGTCGCGATCAGGGGCAGCTCTAAGGCTTTGGGTAGTGAGGCCATTGCTTTAGGCCCCCAAATTTTGAAGGCCCCCAAATTTATTTTAAATTCTTATTATTATTGTTACTATTATATATTATATAATTTATATAAATAATTAGAATAAAAAAAGTGTTACAGTATATTTTTTGTTACTTGATTGAGGTTATTTTATACAATAAATTTATAAATTATGATAATTTTCTTTCCTCATTAATTAGTATATTTGACAAAAGTGGGTTGCTCTAGTGTTGAGCACCCTCCACTTCCAACCAAGAGGTTGTGAGTTCGAGTCACACCAAGAGCAAGGTGGGGAGTTCTTGGAGGGAGGGAGCCGAGGGTGTATCGAAAACAGCCTCTCTACTCCAGGGTAGGGGTAAAGTCTGCATACAAACTATCCTCCCAAGACCTCACTAGTGAGATTATACTGGGATTAAGGGCCTCAGAATATAGTTTCGCCTTAGGCCCCGAGATCTGTTGAGCCTCCGAATATGATTTCGCCTTAAACCCCGAGATCTGTTGAGCCGCCCCTGGTCACGATCTAGAGACTTCTAGTCTCTTTATCACTAAATCATACTAATTAATTAATCACTCGTGTTCACCGACATGCATAAGACATTTTTTAATTATTAATCGTCACGATTTTAAAATGACATACTTTTTATACTTTTTCTCCTAAATTAAAGTTAAATATATATGCTTTAGTATAGAAAATGATGGAATGAGTGGGGAAGGACCATTAATTCATTATCTCAACCTTATACAATAGTGTATGAAAATTTGAGTTCTCCACGCAATTAGGATTTGAGAATTTATCTATCATCTCAATATCTTTCAATTTTTTAAACTTACTTTATAAAAACTGAGACCCTTTTTAATCATAATAATGTCTCTTTACTTTTTGCATATGAAATCAAAATGGGACAAGCAATGTGTATACATGGTACGTATTAATGTTATATACTACTAAAATCAAGAACGTTCGTATTGGCAGCAGCCTTTTATGGTAAAATCAAAAGTTTATTTATGAATTCATCTAATATTGTTTTCTATATCCTTGATAGCGATATTGCATACAACACGTTCCACAAATATATGTAGCAAAAGAAAGAAAGAAAATGATACCAAAAATCTTGGGTTCAATCATAGCAATTAATTAACAAATATAATTTAGATGTGGATTCAGGATTTTGAGACCAGACCGCATCACCGGCTTTAAAGTAAAGTCAGAGGATTCGGGAATCGTCCTTGGGGAAATAAAATAACCATTCAGCCAGTGCACCACTTAGCTTTATACAACATGGTTCCCAAAGATAATATTAAACAATTTCAGTAAACTATGTACATGGAAAAACTGATTTGCTGGGAAGACCATTGGTTCACGTAAACCCCAATTTATAGAGTAGATCTGCCCCAATTTATTGAGTAAATCCGCCCCTGCATGAGAATATAATTGAGATACGTAGTGGCTGTTGGGAGAACAGTATCTGCAAAACCTTAAAGTTTAGACCTCTTTATATATTGTGATTATTACAAGTATTTTCTAGGCAAAAGTAAATGAATCTCATATATCCAAGAATTTCAGGATTTTAGTTTCAACGTGAGTTTCTTGAGCTACTCCGCCTATTGATTTAAGTTTTTGAGTTAGATGTTCAGAATTTCAGATTTTTTCACATGATCGACATAAATTATACCATTATCCATGTAAGGAAAAACACATTATATATGCTAATTAACATGTCACCAGCATTTACAAATTTAAGAAAAACATAGAACTATTGGTAACATTTCATTTCATTTATACACAATACAGATAAAATGACAACACACCAAGAAAGGAAAAGCCGAGCTAGTAAAGCAAAGCAAAGCAAAGAGAAGCATACCCTGAATTCATCAGCCATTAGCAGCAAATTGATTTTCTCTTCTAAATAGCTGCACAAGAGCCAAAACTTGATGGCCCCAACTCTATCATTGATGCAAATTGCAAGCTTTAATTGGTCCCTTTGTCATTTCTGGACTGATTTCTGCCTCATTTTGTACAGAGAATAAAAATCCTCCATAGAAATAAAGCATGAGTTGTACAAGTAATAGTGCTCCTAAGGATTGGGGGATGACATAATAAAAGAGCCACCTGGGACCCTTGCGCTTTGAGGATATTGCCATAGCATCATGACTTATCTGCTTTTCGCACTTTAATTAAATATTTGTCCAAATACATTATACACAGAGAGAAAAAAAAAAGATCTTAATTTTAAATGTTGCATGCACCAACTTTAATAATTCCCATCCCTTGCCTATATAAACATGTCAAGCAAACCCTCCTAATTTCACAGCCAAGTAGAAAACTTGATTGTCTTTTGCAACTCTAGCATTTTGGGTGAGAGGCGAAGTGTTAGAGATTTGCACTTCTTTGGCTAGAAAATACTAAAAAGAGATGGCTGGTATTTCTGGTCACTGGGCTTTTGCCTTTGGTGTCCTTGGTAAATATAAACATGTTTTCTTCATAAAATATATATGTTCAATGTGTTGAGGTTAAACTCATCGTCTCTTTCCTTTTTCTTTTGCAATTTGCAGGTAACATCATCTCATTCATTGTGTTCCTTTCTCCACTGTGAGTCTCCATATACATTTATTTTTTGAAATGATCAGTTTATTTTGACTTGTAATCTGACTGACACCATATTTTCTCAATTGCAGGCCCACGTTTTATAGGATATACAAGAAGAAATCAACAGAAGGCTATCAATCAATCCCGTACGTGGTTGCGCTCTTTAGTTCCATGCTTTGGATTTACTATGCACTTCTCAAGACCAACACTACACTCCTCATCACTATAAACTCCTTTGGGGTCTTCATTGAAACTATCTACGTTGGTTTCTACCTTTTCTACGCGCCAAAGAAAGCCAAGGTGAGGTTTTACAAGACATCTAGTTAAGGAGTTTTTTTTTTTTCAATCTTTCCTCTTTCTAAAGCAAGAAAATTACATATAATTTTGATCTTCAAAATTTAATTAATGCAGGTCCAAACTGTGAAGATGCTCCTATTATCAGTGGTGGGTGGCTTTGGTGCTATAGTTCTGGTTACCCAATTTCTATTCAAAGGAGCAGTTCGAGGGCAAGTAGTTGGATGGATTTGCCTTGTGTTTTCCTTGTGTGTGTTTGTAGCACCCTTAGGCATTGTGGTGAGCTTTTATATACAAATATTTCAAAACATGGTCGTCTTCTCGTTTTTTCTCCCATGCATGAAGAATATAATGCTGATGATTTTTATCATTTTATGCAGAGAAAAGTTATAAAAACAAAGAGTGTGGAATACATGCCACTTCTCCTATCAGTGTTTCTCACGTTAAGTGCTGTGATGTGGTTCTTCTATGGTCTTCTACTAAAGGACATCAACATAGCTGTAAGTTCTTTAATTGCATGTATCCACGTTTACGTGCGTAAAATTTCTTGGATCTTATCAATGTAAGTCATACGTGTACTTTACTTGTTATCTTATATAGGCTCCAAACGTATTGGGATTCATATTTGGTATTCTCCAAATAGTACTCTACGCAATATACAGCAAAAAGGAGAAGGCCATATTAAAGGAGCAAAAACTTCCAGAGATACAAAAGCCAGAAGTCATAGTGGTGGACGAGAACATGAACAGTAAAAAGCTTCCAGAACTGACACAGGAACAGATTATTGACATAGTGAAGCTTGGTTTACTGGTTTGCTCAGATAAAGTTAACGTAGCCTCGCTTCCACATGATACTACTTGTGGAGTTAAAGCACCTAAAGTAGAAAACATGCCCAAGCTGCAAACTGTAGAAGCCTAGGACAGTTAATGTCAGGCTTGGAATTAGCATTGATCTCAGTGCAGCATATATATAGTTTTCCTAAGTAATCCTGGTGTGTATGTACACAAGTTATCTCTATATAAGCTCATATATATAGTTTGTGTAAGCTTTCTCTTGGCATGTCCTATAAAAGAATAAAATGGTCATCTTGATCTATATATAAGAGGCTAGGCGTGAAAGTTTTCTTTTACACCAATAAAAGTAATTATTTATAGTTTATCCCGGTTAATTCCTATGTAAGCGTTAAAAGTGTATGTTTGCTGTATCGTTTTTATACACTATCACTGATATAATGATCACTTATACTATTTAATGTTATACTAAGAAGTGGTAGAATGCCTGACTAGTGGAAAAGGTACCTTGATTCCAATTTATAATAAGAATAAAAAGAAAATATTCAAAGTTGTGTGAATTTTGCAACATTATATAAACTTATGTGTCATACGACAAAACTTTAGGATAAAATTATAAATTATAAATCTACTCAAGAACATTACAAAAGTGAACAAGAATCAATTTGGATGTGCCCGATAGATCTACAACAGAAGATATACTCTTGTTAAGAAGATTGCAAAAATTTATCGCAAGAGGAAAAAAAAATACAACTTAATCATCGTTGATCTAGAGAATATACATAGAGTACCATGATATGCCTTGGTGGGGGGTTGGAAGAGAAAAAATTTCATGTTAATATATAAATATTATAAAGGGCATGTTATCATTAACGTGAAAACAATAGTAAGCTATAAAGGAATACTTCTCTCATAACATTAACCGGTACTTATTAACTCTAGTTGTGGATGAGCTAATCAACATAATGAAACGTCGTACGCTATTTGCTGACGATACTATATAAATTGATAAAACTAGCAAGAATGCGACCAAAAACTTGAACTATTAAGAAGCTTTGTGGAGAGTAAATGGTTTTAAGATAAGTAAATGTAAGACTAAATATACGCATTGCAATAATTTAGTCAACATAAAAGCGTGAAGTGGAGATGAGGTTAGATGGGATTTTAGTAGCTAAACGCGAATAGTTCAGATAATTAACTTGACTCATTAATTATTCCATAACAAAGGAATGATTGATGAAAGTAATAAGCATAGAATAAAAAATGAATGGCTGAACTTGAGAAGTGCTACAGAAGTATTATGTAATAGTAGGATGACCATTGTTAGCCCCTCGGCTAGATTGATCGAATATGGCATGGCGGTGACGAGGGATTTACATGATGGACCTCGGCACGGTCCTATGATGGTTATGGCATCATGCTGACAAGATTGTCCGACATGGGTAGGTGTTGATGGGCATGGACTGTTGCACGACGACATGTGGCTTACGTGCCAAGACATGACAAGACCATGGAAAGGCAAAAGCAACAGGCAGCAAAAGCATAGCAAGGGCTGGAAAAGCTAAGGCAAGCTAAGGCAGGGCGTGGCAAGGCAGATGGGCGTGGGCAAGGCAGTGTCATGGGCGAGCTGGGCATGCAGACTGGCAGACATGCGCGTAAGGCGTGTTGCACATTAGCATGGCAAGATTTGGCATGTTGGCGCCAAAATTCAAAGGTTGCGCCCATGTGCCACACGCATGCAAGGCAATTGGGCAGTTTTCTATTTTTCAGCAAGAGTGGCTATGTGGGTCTTGGGCAGTTGTCCTTTTCAAATTCGAATGTTTGAAATCCTTTGCAATTGGGGATGTAAATTGCTAGTTTAGGATAAGGCAAATGCCAAAAACGTGTGCCTATATGTATAGGCTTGGTAGACTTGTCAAAGGCAGAGAGTTGGCTGTCTTTGGCTATCATTTTGTAAGACTATTTGTATGTGTTCTTTATAGCACGACAAAGTTGGAAAGAAATTTCTGTAACTGTGTGCCTTGTCTGATTTTTGTATGATGTTATATTCTAAGTGTCAAACTGAAACATGAGGGAAACAGGAAGAGGGTTGAGTCATTGTTGTGTGACTGTCGTGCAGTGTCAAAACAAAACAAATTGATACTGTAACAACTGTTATCAGAGCAACGTCGGCAAGATCTTGGAATTATCATGGCTGGAAATACAGAACTTCATGAAAGACTTCAGAAGTTGAAGGCACCGGTGGGAATAACTGATAACGTTGTGAATCTGGTGATATTTTGACGCAGATCCATGGTGTTAACACAGAACTTCAACACGTTCGTGAGAGTGTTGATACCCAACTGGTGGAATTGCATACTTTTCATGAAACTACTGCAAAGCAGTTGGAAAAGTCAAAGAATGAAAACGAGGATCTTAAAACAGAAATCCAAATCCTTCGACGGGTTGTTGCAAATGTGACCCAAGGAGGTGAAGAACATACCTAAATTAAGATTCCAGAGCCAAAGGCATTTGATGGCGTTAGAGGTGCCAAAGAACTAGAAAACTTCTTGTGGGACTTGGAGCATTACTTCTCCATTGCTCATGTCACGGAGAAGGACAAACTGACCGTGGCAGTGCAATATTTCAGAGGAGATGTAGTGCTGTGGTCGCGTACGAAAAATGCAGACGATGAAAGTGTTGGAAGACCCAAGGTTGATACTTGGGAAAAACTTCGTGACGTGTTGAGGTATAAGTTCTTGCCTAGCAACTGATCTTGGATTGCTAGGGATCGCTTGAAGCGGTTGAGACAAACTGTTCTATTCAGGAATATGTGAAGGATTTTTCATCCTTGTTGCTGGACATCCAAAATATTTCTGATGAGGATAAGCTGCATAATTTTATTTCTGGAATGCAATGTTGGGCTCGAAATAAAATCGTAGGCAAAGAGTTAAAGATCTGCCTAGTGCAACTGCGGCAGCGGATGCATTGGTGGATTTTCACTCAACTGGTCTAACTTTTTATCCTACCTCTTCTTCTAAGACAAAGAAAAAGGAGAATAGCAAGGATTGGAAGAATGACAATCGGAAGCAAGATAAAAATGATAAAGGAAAAGGGAAGATAGATGTTTCTTCGTCAAATACAAACAGGCCAATGGGTGGTGAAAAGGTTTGTTGGGCATGTCAAAAACCTAGACATCATGCTCGAAACTATCCAAATCAAGTTATCTAATTGCACAACAATCATGTTGAACTTTCCAGACCAATGGCCCAATATCATTGGGACATCTAGCGCCACCCCATAACCAGGTTGCGCCTTTGAGTTCACAACCTTCATCTTCGTCGGACACTTTGTCACTTGCAGCCCATACTCTTGAACAATTCTGGAGGCAACAAAGGTGTGCGTGACTCCGGTATCAACCATTGTCACAACACTCTTGTTTCTGATTTTCAAATCCACATACATTAGTGTGGAATAAGCATCAGCCAAATCATCCTAGCATTCACGTATGCAACTTCTTCCTTGGCAGCATTTTCTTCATCATCCGTCGTAGTTACACAAGCCAAAGTGTTCAACAGCCGCAACGGATTCACATAAGCAACAACTTTCTGTCCCTTTCCTTGTTTCTCCTCTTCAGTAAGAAGAGCAAAAAACAACAAAGTCACTCTAATTCCTCATTTGGATAGATTTATGTTCATGGGGGAGACAAACCCCGGCTTTGTGAAAGGTATTCGACCCTATGGGGATGAAAGAAATAACGTTGGGATACCTACTTTGATTTTTGCCATTGTATTTGAGAAAGGCTTAAAGAGTGGTGAGGAGACTTACCGCGCTGCACTTGTTGAAGTCAAGCCAAATGTGCAGATTGTGGTCCTGGATTGTTTTGCAAATTTGCTTAAGGAATTCAAAGATGAGATGCCTCCATAATTGCCTAGGGAGTTACCACCGAGAAGGGAGATTAATCACAGGATTGAACTTATTCCTGGATCATTACCGCATGGACGGCCTCCTTACCACATGTCGCTTATGGAACTGACAAAATTAAGAAAGCAATTGTCTATGTTGCTTGATATTGGGTTGATTCAACCATCGATGGCTCCATATGGTGCTCCTGTTTTGTTCCAGAAAAAATAGGATGGTACGATGCGGATGTGTGTTGATTATAAGGTGCTGAATAAAGTGACTATCAAAAACATGTACTCGATCCCTTTGATTCAAGATCTGCTGGACAGGCTCTCGAAGGCTAGTTATTTTACTAAGTTAGACCTAAGGTCAAGCTATTGGCAGGTTAAGATAGTCGAGGGGGATGCCCCTAAGACTACTTGTGTAACTAGATATGGTAGCTTTGAATTTCTTGTAATGTCACTTGGGCTAACCAATGCCCCAACAACTTTCTGTAATTTAATGAACAATGTTCTTTATGAGTATCTTGATGACTTTACAGTTGTTTACTTAGACGACATAGTCATCTATAGCCGGACCCATGATGGTCATTTGTATCACTTAAGGAAAGTGGTGGAAAGACTTAGAGCCTATCAACTCTATGTCAAGATGGATAAATGTGAATTTGCAAGTTGCGAAATAAAGTTTCTAGGCCATTTGGTTAGTGAAAACCAAGTGCATATGGAGCCAAAGAAGGTGCAAGCAATAGTTGATTGGCAAGCACCAAGCGGGGTAAAGAAACTAAGATCATTTTTTGGCTTGGCAAATTATTACCGGAAGTTTATTGCAGGCTATTTAAAAAGGGCTACTCCTTTGACAGATTTGCTGAAAAGGAATGTCAAATGGGTTTGGTCGGATTCGTGTGGCAAGGCTTTCTATGCATTGAAGAAGGCCATTGCATCCGAACCAATCTTGAAGCTGCCAGATTTTGACTTGCCATTTAAATTACACACTGATGCTTCAGATTATACTGTTGGCGGTGTGCTGGTCCAGGAGGATCATCCGGTTACATTTGAAAGCAGAAAGTTAAACGTTGTGAAGCAATGTTATTCTGCACATAATATGAGAAAGAGATGGTTGCAGTAATTCATTGCCTTCAAGTTTGGAGAGTCTATTTGCTGGGAACAAAGTTCGTGGTGCGAATGGACAATGTGGCTAATACATACTTTAAAACTCAACAGAAATTGAGTCTGAAGCAGGCCAGGTGGAAAGATTTCTTGGCTGAATATGACTTCGTATAGGTGCACAAACCTGGAAGAGAAAATCAGGTTGTCGATGCACTTAGCCGCAAAGAGGTATTTCCTGCAAGTTATGCACTTACTCGAATTGAATCTGATTTTCTAGATACAATCAAGTTATGTGCTGTGAACAATCCATAGTATGTGAAATTAATGAATCAAGTGATAAGACGGGACAGTTAGACGGTATTGGATTGAGGACGATCTGTTACACTTCAAATGAGGGAGAATTGTGGTTCCTCAAGGTGATGGATTGCGTCGTTCACCTCTAAATGAGACGCATGATACTCCTTATGCTGGTCATCCGAGAGTTGAAAGGATGTTTGCATTGTTGTCCCGAAATTACTTTTGGTTAAGATGGAAGATGACGTTGAGGCCTATGTGAAAACCTGTCTTGTATGCCAACTTGACAAGACTGAATGGAAGACAGAAACCGGTTTACTACAACCTCTACTGGTTCCAGAGTGTCTGTGGCCTTCTGTTTCTATGGACTTTATCAGTGGGCTTCCAAAAGTTGATGGCAAAGCATCAATTATGGTGGTGGTAGACAGATTCTCAAAGTATAAAGTTTTCGTTGCTGCTCCAACCATTTGTTTTTCTGAGCTAGCTGCTGAATTATTCTACAAGCATATGTCGAAACACTTTGGGGTTCCAAGGGATATTGTGAGTGATCAGGATCCGAGATTTACAAGCCGATTATGGACTGCTTTGTTCAAATTCTTGGGGACTGATTTGAAATTCTCGACTGCAAATCACCCACAAACTGATGGACAGACCGAACGTATAAATCATCTGCCTGAAGAGTATTATGTGACTGTTAATCGAATAAATTGGGTTGAGTTACTAGACAGTGCACAATTTTGTTACAACTTGCACAGGTCTTCGGCAACTGAAATGAGTCCTTTTGAGATAGTGTTGGGAAGACAGCCTGACACACCGCTGGAAGTTGCTCAGTTGAAATCATGGGGTAAGTGTCTTGCTGCCTATAGATATGCTCGCAACAAACATGAGTTGTTGGCTGAGGTGCGAGACAACTTGAGAAGAGCGACTACAAAAATAAAAAGGAATGCTGACAGAAATAGGCGGCCTTTGGAGTTCAATGTTGGTGACAAGGTGTTGCTGAAGCTTACGCCATAGATTTGGAAGAAATTCAGTAGCAAGATGTGTCATCGTGAGATGATTCCAAAGTATGACGGCATGTTTGAAGTTGTAAAGAAGGTGGGTGAAGTAGCCTATCGGCTAAATCTGCTGGAACATCTCAAAATTCACCCAACTTTTCATGTGAGTTTCCTAAAACCGTTTCATGAAGATGATGAGGATCCTACAAGGGAGGTGCCAAAACGTGCTCCTCCAGTAGAGCGCTAACAATTTGAGGAGACTATTGAGAAGATTTTGGATCACTGTACGCTAGGCCAAAGCAAAAAAGAACAGGCGAATAGAGTTCCTGGTTCAATGAACAGGAAAGCAAGAGTGCGATGCAACTTGGGAGAAAGGACCGTCTCTATGGCAATTTCAGGATCAAATCAAGGCGTATCCGGATTCTGTCGATTGTCGAGGGCGACGAGCTCATCTGGTAGGGGATGTTATATAGCTCCTCAGATTGATTGATCGTACATGGTGTGGGCATAACGAGGGATTTACATGATGGACATCGGCACGGCCCTATGATGGTTGTGGCATCATGTTGAAAAGACTGTCTGACATGGGAAGGTGTTGATGAGCAAGGACTGTGGTACGACGACATGTGGCTTAGGTGCAAAGACATGACAAGACCATGGCGTTGGCGTGACCATGGAAAGGCAAAGGCAACGGGCAGCAAAAACATAGCAAGGGATGGAAAAGCTAAGGCAAGCTAAGGCAGGGTGTGGCAAGGCAGATGGGCACGGGCAAGGCGGTGTCATGGGCGAGCTGGGCATGCAGACTGGTAGATATGCGCATAAGGCATGTTGCACAATGGCATGGCGCGAAGGCATGACAAGATTTGGTCTGTTGGCGCCAAAATTCAAAGGATGCGCCCATGTGCCATGCACAGTTGGGCAGTTTTCTGTTTTTTCAACAATATTGGCTATGTGGGTCTTGGGCAGTTATCCTTTTAAAATTCGAATGTTTGAAATCCTTTGCAGTTGGGGATGTCAGCTGCTAGTTTAGGATAAGGCGGATGCCAAAAATGTGTGCATATATGTATAGGCTTGGTAGACTTGTCAAAGGCAGAGAGTTAGATGTTTTTTGCTATCTTTTTGTAAGGTTGTTTATATGTGTTCTTTGTAGCACGAGTTTAATATAAAGTTGGGAAAAAATTCATGTAACTGTGTGCCTTGTCTGATTACTATATGATGTTATATTCTAAGTGTCAAACCAAAATGTGAGGGAAAAAGCAAGAGGGCTGAGTCATTGTTGTGTAATTGTCGTGCAGTGTCAAAATGAAATGAAAAATTGACCATGTAACAGCTACCAAGGTAAAAAGTAAAATATTTACAAAAAAACAGTATTATATGAGAGTAAATGTTGGGCTGCTAAAATGCAAAATGCCCACGAGGTAATTGTTGTAGAGATATGAAGTAAGATGGATGAGAGATTATAAAGATTATAAAAAAAATTCTTCAAACATATTTGCTTAGTTAGACAGCAGCTTCATTTGAAGTCTGAAGTTAGACAAAATGACAAATTCTCTCGTTCTCTACGGTTTAACCGACAAACCGTTCGATAACTGCCCGATAATTATTAATCCAATACAAATCTGTCCAATGTCTTATTGGATGGCTAACAGATTACTATATTTATACCGATATGCCAAATCATTAAAGCATAAATAACTGCCCGATCCACCCGATAATCATCCCTACTACTAACTCAAAAGCACTTATTTTTTTCTTAAAAACTTGACCAAAAACATTAAAATGCTGTGCTAACTCGACGGGCAAAAAAACTTCACAGTCGAAACCAAAAAGGTTATCGTTCCAAGAAACAAGAATCTACTATAGGGAGTACTACTATTGATCGCAAGTTCCAAATTGTCCCCAACTCTCAAAATCAGAAAAATACATGTTTATATTTAAGGCTCAATTTGATAAAGAGTAATTTAACACCCATACAGTTTATATCAAAAGTCCCGTAAACACGAAGAACTCATTTGGCACGAGAGATAAGGGATAATTAATTCCAATTTTAATTTGAGATGAGTTTATCTCATGTTTGATTGTGATAAAATTGTGGTATAACTAATCCCAAAATTAATTATATTACTTCCCAACCAAACGACCGCCAAGAGAACAGTCGGGTACAAGTTGGCGTTCCACAGAGTCTCACAATAAACTTCCACATTATTGGGGTTCAAATGTCAAAAGCATAGTTCCATGGCATCAATAAAGTCAGTACGAAGAGAAATGTTTTCTAGGTAGGCCAAGTACTAGTTTACAGAACGTGATAGCTTTATCAAAATTAGTGGGACAACAGCTTTTTGGGTGCACTAGAATTACCGACATCAGGTTTCAATCTTAATTATCAAAAACAGCAGTATTTTCTAAAGAAATAAAGAGTTCGTCCACAAGCACATCATTTACTGTCCTCCAAAATTTGCAGCTGCCAAAATCTATAAAAGATAGCACGACTCGCCAAGTTTCAAAGTGAGATAAAAGCACAAATGGGGCATAGTTAGCAGTAGATGTATCTTGGTCTATGATAAATAGCTGCAAAAACCATATCTTGGTCTATGATGATGTATAAATCAAACATAGGCAAAGAACAAGAAGCAAAATTTTGAGATCGTCACAACAAAACTCAACTTAAACAATGTGAGGCTCTAAAGACTATCACCATATTTGATCACATACTTCAGAAGGATGAAACGAGTCTACGCTCCAGGAACCTCGGGTTCTGCCTCTGCTACTGTCTCATCAGTTGGCCGATCCAACTTCACACCAACATCTTCTGAATAATCACCATGAACCTACAAGAATAACTCGAAATTAATAACAAAATAGCTTCTGGTATACAATACGAATAGTAAACTATGGATGCGTCCTGTTTAAATCAATACGACAAAGAACAGACACATAACATACCTCCATCAGCTTGCCAATATCAAACTTAGGGGCCTTGAGAATCTTGACTTTTCGAATATAAACATTTTGCAAGGGGAAGATGCTTGAAGTTGCTTTCTCAATCTCTCTGCCTATTGATTCAGGGATGAATTTGGCAACCAACTCCTTCAGGTCACATGAACTTGCTTGGTTCCTCATGATCTCAACCATCTTCCTACGGATCTAAGACAACATTAAAGGTACGGTTGTGAGAACTTGTATGTGCATAAGATAACACCAAGTTGAAAATACTACCAACCTGACGGATCTGGCTGCTTTGAGCATAACAGGTACGTTTCTGCTGGTTTGGGCGTTTCTTGGTAAAAGCAATGCAGAACATCCTCAGGGTATAACTGTCTGTTGTCTTGACATCCACATGGGCCTCAATCAAAGTCTGCCATTTGCGAACCAGTGACCTCAATTTGTCTGTTGTGAAATCCATTCCCTGTAATTACTTAACAAAGTTAGAAATCAATCTACAGCAGCAAATGCAAACAAATGATTGTCTGAAAGAATCATCTTACCCAGAAGTTTGTGAGGACATTCTTCCCTTGCACATCCTCTGCTCTCAACCTGATCTTCCTGAAAGCCTGATCCTCATCCTTTTGAAGATCAGCCAGACTCACTTCAAATACTCTATGCTTAAGTCCCTCTGAAGCAATCTGAGAGGAAAATAAGGACATAATTATTCCATTGAAATTGCAATTACAACCGTGCTTTCTTAGTATACAAAAGATGAAAAATCAAAGTTTAATCTTTTTTAGTGGAGCACAGTAAATAGACCCAAGAAAAGCAGGTAGATCAAATATAACATGAAACAGAGTAAACCTAGTAGAAAACAATACTCTAGATATGTGGTCCTCCAGCCATTTTAAAGATAAAAAGTCATAGAACCTTATTGGACAGTTGCTTAATTGCAAGATAACTTATTACATTTTAGCTTGTACGTCTCTATGAGAAGTTATAGCAGAAATCAACCCAATCCGACTAGCAACATTAATTAAACATTATAAATCACCAATTACTAGTAAAGTGTGAATACTGTAACAACCCTCCACCCTC